CATGAGGTGTCCACTCTGCCCCCTTTCTCTCTGCAGCCATGTCCAAGTTTGCAGACATACACATGGAATCCTTTGAATCTCACATCCTTCTTGCATGTGTGGCCCAATTTCCATGAGCCTGTATGTGCTAAAATGTGCTTCTACTTGAAGGAAGTAAAATGCATATGCCTGTTTCTGCTTGAAAATCAGACAAATATTTCTAGTAGATAATCTAAAAGTAAGCTTGTGAAATATAAAACGGTCTACTATTGTTAATATTAAACAAATATAATTAGATCACTGAATATGGTACTAATCAGAGTTATTTTGTGTTTAGAAGGACCGCACTTGTCTGCATTACGCTGTGAGAAAACGGTTTACCTTCCTTGACTATGTGCTCATCGTAATCCTCATGCCAGTTATGCTTATTGGATATCTTCTCATGGTGAGTGTGGATGAAAGCAGGAAGGACCCTGTATCACCTTTCTCATGGAAGTATTTCAGGCTAGGAATCTGTATAGAATATGGACTGCTTTTTTAAAGCAAGCATTGATGGGGAGCAACAGAAGGATCAGAGATTTTGCTGTGGATATAGCTGGTGAAGGAACACAGTTATAAGACTGCATCAGTCTGGCATTTGCAGAAGCCAGACACTCTTCTTTTTGGAATAAACACAGTATTTAGTCAAAATCTCCTCAGTACTATATGCAGATGAACTGTTTTACTGTGTTACTCTTTCTCTTGCACCAAACAGGTGTCAAAGACTAAACAGAATGAAAACCTCATCAAGATGTTGCTTAGAGCTGGAGCTGATGTTAATGCTACAGACTTTGTAAGTGGGTTTATAAAAATGTGGCTCGTATGCATGCAACAATACTAAAACCACACTTGAGAATCTTCTAGCAACACAGTCTTGCTTTCAGAGTAGAATCAGGGGCTGAACTGACTGTGATGTACCAGGAGGATTCAGTGTTTTCCCTTGACTCTTAGGCAATAGTTTTGTAATGTACACAGAAATAATTCTCTATTGATCAACTAATTCTCCCTTTCTGACAAATGGCCTCTTAAAAGAATCCAGGCAAGCTGGGTTGAGATACTTAGATATTAAATACATGATCCTATAAAGATTCTAGTGATATAAAGGTCTGAGTTTATCACCATTTGTGAGTTCTTGGACTGGATCAGACTTGTGGGCAAAGGTCATGCCACAGTGCTAGACCCTATGTCTTCTCCTGGTCTTCAGAGTGCGCTGATTTGCTATGTGTACAGTTCTGTATCCACTAGCCTACTTAGGTGTGGTAAAGAGCTCCTCTACTCTAAGGTAGAAAAGGGGAACCCCCAATTTTGGCAGGAACCAAATTCTAAAACAGTGAAATGTGAGCAAACAGTATTGCTTAAGACATAGTTGTTGAGATCAGGATCATGGAACTCTCTGAAATTAGTAAAGAACTAGTGGCTTCCATCTGAACGTATCAGATCATTTTTGCATCCCTGAGGAAGAAATGATTTTTTTGTTCCTGTTGCTTTTATAAAAATGTATTTGTTTTAACTTGTAGTGTATTGTGACAGAAAATATTGTTTCTTTTGCACCCAGCTGTTAGGGGGAAACTGATAAGGCTACAGATAGTCATGCTTGCCTAAGGTCTACTAAAGAAGTAATAGAACCAAAATTCATCTGTTTCTGTTTCCCTTCAGTCTGGTAACACAGCCCTTCACTATGCTTGTGAAATGAAAAACCAGGCAGTCATTCCTCTACTGCTTGAAGCTCACGCAGACACTTCTGTAAAGAATCAGGTAAGAAAGTGAAGTTGATAACTGTATTTCCTTATCATGATGGTAAACTGGTATGTTGTAGGCCTTAGCTGGTGTGCAGCAGTTAAAAAAAAATGGGTGCGCAGCTTCCTGGCAGCAGACCTGTTTGCTGTGGGGTATAAAGCAATGTTTGCTCCATTGCCTTTGTTGGCAAGAGCAACTTCAAAGTCCAAAGCCTTCACTGCTGAATTTCTACCAGTAAACACCACCTGCACATCCGCTGGATTGGCAGATCTCTTAGTTATCTTTGGAGTACCTCTTCTTAGCTCAGAGCTGCTCTACAATTGTTCCTAAGATGCAGGCTGCAGGGGAGTGGTAAGAGGTGCTTTTTGTGCTGCTGGACACCATTCTTCTGGGAGAGGCTAAGTCAAGCTGCTTCTGTCACCAGAAAAGCTAAAATGTTGTCCAAATAAATATTGACCTGGGAGTATCTGCATTGCTGAGTTGAGGTGAGCAATGTATTGTCCATGTTACTCTTGAAATCAGCTCTGAGCTTAGCTCTGCACTGACTTTGGATAGTAGCCCCAGGAAACAGTGGAATGACTGTCACTACTGAAGGGGAGGGAAGGGCTCCATGCCCAGATTCAGTGAGAGTAGTATTAGACCCAGCACGTTCTGAAACCTTGGTTTTAGAGCAAGAATGTGACGGTGAAGCTTACACAGGAGAACGCTGCAAGTGGGTGTCAAATTCAGGAAAGCTCTTTGTAGTTGACCCATATCTATCATATTGCAATATATTTCATCTCTTTCTTTCAGGACAGGGAGACTCCCTTAGATATAGCAAGAAGATTACAGTTCCACAACATTGAAAGCATGCTAAAGAAAACTTCTTAATCATCAAGGACTCTTGAGCATGCAGAAAATTACCTCATCTTGCAATTCATCTTGCACAGCAGCAGGAGTCCTGCAGAGGGTTGAGGGCTGTTACCTGATAAAGACTCAGTCCAAATCCACCCATTCCTTGCTGCAGGCTTTGACTATTTTGTGTGAGACTTGTCAGTACCCTCAAGGCCACGTGGGCTGAAAGAAGTTCATTTGATTCTACTAAGTTGTGAATTATTACAATAGTGTTCAAAACATCACCCTTCCCATTTGCTTGCCCAGTTTTATTGACTTGCACAGACTGTGGATTTTGAAAGCTAACTACATTTCTGGAAGCCTAAACATTGCACGTAACAGTTGACAGCCAATGCAAAAATAAAATATCTTTTAGAGTGTGTGTTACTTGTTCTGTAGAGGATGCATTTGACAACTGAACAATATGCCACAGCAATTTATACAAAGTCTGGTACCCTTCCCCTGTGTATTTCTCTTCCTACAATGGAAGTGACTAGGAAAATAGATCTCTCTGCTTAGCACTTCCTCCTTCCATCCCTGCCACAAGTTTTATACACCTTAATTCTCACTATGTTGCTGCAAAGGAAGGATTATCTTCTCTCCTTGTTTTTTATGTATGAAATAGCAAAAAGAGATTAAATGAGCTGCTAAAGACTGCAAAGAAAGCCAATTCCTGGGTTGCTTTAGTGCATTAAGAAATAATAATGAGAATATGTTTGGCGCAATAGAGGAACAAGTCTCTTGACTACCTTTCCAATATAAACAGTGTACTAAAGAAAAAAAAATCAATAAATGAAATGCTGTTGATGGAAACCAGGTGTATCCTTCCCATGAGACTAGATAGGATAGTACGATTTTCAGAGTGGTGCATGCAGCAGGGGATGCATATACAAAAATAATAATAAATTCATGAGTCTCCTCTTGCGTAGTTGAAGGCAGAAGAAAATATGCGGTGATAAGCAATGTATTAATGTGGCCTAGTGTTCTGTGATTTAATAACACAGCAATAAAGGGGAATCTCCTTTCAAATGCTGCTGTATCTTGCTTTCTTGGTCTAATAGATCTTTATTTTTGATGACAGTTTTGGCCATTTCCTGTAAGCTGTCAGAAGTTCAGAAGATAGATGCCATGATCAGCACTGCTAATGGTTGTTAGACTAGGTGCATGAACCAGCTAGTGTATTTTCTTCTGTGTTGTAGAACACTTATTTTTCAGTGTAAGTATTCTATTGGATGCTGACTCCAACTACAAAGGGTCTTGGTTGGGCAACATGAGCTTGAGGCCCCACCCAGAAACACCTCCGGGAAACAAAGCTACCCTGTCTGAGCCTGTAATAATGAGCACTTTGGGTGTAACTTGGGGACAGACACTTTTACCTACCAGATCAACTTGTAGGTGAGTAAACGTGAGGCACTTACATGGATAATGAAGATACTATCTCTTTGGGCTAATGGCTGGAAAGGGAAAACAGCTGACTGCTTTCCAATGCTGTAGAAATTGCTTGCAGAAAGAATGATCAAGACACAGAGTTATGTAAAAGTTAAAGCTAAAGATAGCTCAGAGTGCTTGCAACAACTTCATTGCTGGTATCTAGAATAATTCATGGGGGGAAAGCTGTACTGCTTGGAGTGCAGTTTGCCTGACAGGTCTGCATCTCCTCTCTCCTCAGCTGCCATCCATGGTTTTTGAAGTTAGGAGGTTTAAAGCATGCAAAAAAAACTTTAGGTGATGTGTATACACAGACGGCAGGAGAATACTTCTATGAGTTTTTCTACAATTGGATTCCTTGATGTTTGGAAGTCATCTATTGCCTGCTCCGTTTCTCGTGTCTGAAGATCTCTCAGTTGTATTGACACTGTAGGTAAATGTGTGGAGGTGAAAAAAAAAAGCCAAGTTCTCTGTCAAGTGGATAAATGATTTAATTTAAACAAAAGTCAGTTGTACTTAAAGAGAGAAACGAGCAAATTCCACTTTTGGGTCTTCATGGGAAGGCACAATTGAGCTTGGGTTTGCCTCTGTAGGATACGTAAGATATACATGAGAACAACAGAGTTTAGGCTTAGGAAAATCAGTCTTGTAGAAATAAAAGCTGTGCAAATTAAGTGATCTCTCCAGTGTGTGCTCAAATACATTCATGTTTTCAGCTTTCATTCCTATACACCTCAAACTTCTTAGGAAGACAGCAGTCACAGTAACACCGTGGAAAATCTCAAACTATGAGGAAAGCAAGAAACAAACAAGTGCAGATAAATACCTATACGGGTATTCGTTATGTGTGCCTGTGTGTTTACATCTTCCCCAGGTGTCACCCTTGTTGCCAAATAGGAATTTTGGAGGATTTTACTGAGTGAATCAACACTCTGCATGTTGTTTCAAAAGTATTTTGTTAGTAGTTCAATGATTTTCCGATACATTTTCTCAGTTGCGTCAAGGCCCCAGATGAAATCAAGATGTCCCCAAGCAGGAAAATGCTCATGGTAAATGAGATTAGTAATCCGAGGAAGTAGCTTTGCCATGTCTTTTGGATCTCCAAATTTGTCGTCTCCACCGCTCCAAACAGCAATTGGAATGTTTATCTTCTCTATCTTGTAAGCAGGAGGCATAGACTGTAAGAAAGGGAGAAGACCTGAGTGAATGCTGTTGTATCAGAAGTTGTGTTTAGAGAAAGGATTCTGTGCAAGCACCTCTCTCCCTCCTGCACTCGCTCTAAAAAAACAGTAAGGATGAAGGCCGCCCTCTTAGCGTTTATTGTACAAACCCATTCCTTGTTGACCATGAGAAGGAATGATCCATCCTACTCCTGTGTCTTTCCTGAATGAGTGGCTCAGAGTTGTCGTCCGTTTTGACCCTTGCTTGTGCTCTTCAGAGGTGGGGATATTGAAACAGAGATGTCTGTGTGTATTAGGCAAGGACTGTGGAGCTTATTCACGTGTATATTTAGAGTGGGAAGATCTTTAAGTTTTGTTGGGGCATGGAATGCACCTGCTGGTCAGTTGTTATGCTTGGGACTTAAGTGGCAAGGAAAGATTTTGGCCGTTTATAATTTCACTCTAGAAAATTTCTAAGACAGTGTGCATGGGTAGAAGTGACTGATTACATTTCTGGAGCCTTTCTGTCTGTGAAAAGCAGCCTGCTCTGATATAGTGCAGGAAACTGCAAGTCAAGTGTGCTGGTTGAACATGAAATAGTTGTCAGCCAATAGGAGAGGTCACCATAGCTGGGAGATTCATTTCCTCCCTTAACTGAAAGGCAGATCTTGAGGATTTTGGGGGAAGTAGAAGAGCTCCATACTCATCCAGTCTTAGGACTTGGGTGTGGCTCTTAGCCTTTTGGGAATGGCAGGTATGTTGACATGTTCTGCGACACATTCCTGCATCAGTAGGGGAGGCAAAACGAACTTCTGTTAGCTGTCTGCAAGGATCTGTCCATGCCTTGTCCACGAACAGACTTCCATGCTTACAAGTATCGGATTCTGGTGAAACATTATCTCAGACCACTCTCCCCCTCTTTCTGTAGCACTCAAGGTGCTAAAATCTGAATTTTTATCTTAGTTTTGCCAGAACGTGAGGATGAATTCTCAAGGAAACCATATCACCTTACCTGGTTGTATTTCTTCATGTTTTCTTTTGAGCCATAGTCATAAGCTTGAAATCGGTCTGCAAATCTTATCTGTTAAAAGAACAGATAAAATGTAAGTGTTGAGAGACCAAGAAGCAGAGTTCAGGAGACATTTTCCTGCCTGTGATTGAAGCCAAGGCTCAGGCAGTGGATCATGAGTTACTCCTACCCCTTCCTCTGGTTGCTCACAGTAGTGGCAACATTTCCTGAGGCTCTGTACTTAGAGGAGTTTGGCTATACATGTTGTGCTCTGACAGCAGTTTTGAGGTGGAATATTAGATGCAAGACATTACCCTTCTTGAGTCTGTGTTGTCTATAAGACATGATATATTCCCTGCAGGGACTGATGAATGAAGAGTTAAGTATGCATCTGTGTTTTTTTTAATTTGGGTGGGTCTTTTTTTTGGCCATTTTATTTTTATTTTATTTTTTTGCACAAACTTAACAAGTAGTTTCGTTTGTGAATGGTTGTAATACAGGATGAGAGAAAGTCGGTGTCTGTCAGTTTAAAAAGCCTTGACTTCAAGGCTTCAAGTAGGTGGGAATGTGCTAGAAATCTGCTTGCTGTATTGTCTTTGCTGTTTTCTTCTATCCTGCTGTATCTGTGTTTGGTTTGTAGCCTCCTGACTTTGTTAGAGACTGGCAAAATAAGCTGTAAAGCCACTGGCTGTCAATGGTTTGTCCCCGTTTCCTGTCTCTGGGTAGGTGTATCCTGTGGGACTGACTGTTGGGAATTTTTGTCAGGGGTGTTCTCAGGAGCACACCTATATTCTAGGCCACATTAAGTGTTTGCAGAAATGGAGGGTCTGCCTGTAGGATGTATGCAGATATATCCTTGCTCATCCTTGTTAAAAAAGGACACATGCAGTGATGTTTCTCAGCTGGAGATGTCTTGCCCTGGTCTGATTCAGACCATGAGCAGAACAAGCTCAGATCTGCCAGTGCATAAGTAGAAACCCACCTTTAGAGAACTGGAATCCAGGATCTGGACAAGGTCTGGCAAGAGTGATTAAAAGGATTTTGGAAAAACCTGGCTGTTGGGAACTTCCCTGTTGAGCAATGTTGCTTGTCATGTACTGGAGTAGTATAAGACAGTTATCTACTTTGCCGTTGTGCTAGCCGAAGTGTTTATGTGGTGAACTGACTTTGGAGGGTGATCCAGGCTGCAATTAACCCTCTGGGAGAAAAGCTGTAACATGGATCACTTCTTTGTCTGGATTATCCTGTAGATGCTCAAGTTTCCACTATCCTCCTACTGCCTGCCAAGTGTCTAGACTGTGCTTATGTTCACTTCTGCAGCTCTCAAGGCAAATGTCTTCAGAAATAAAGGTGAAGGCTGGAAGCCATTAGAGCCTAACGTGCAGAGAGGCGTGATGTGCCCTGGGGAAATCTCAGTGCCTGATACCAAAGGGGCAATCCAGGTAATGGTCTGGTGAGCCATGGGAAACCCTCTGTGCAGGTTTTCTCCCTCTGGCAGGTGCTCACAGCAGCATGTGAGAAGATGTGATGGGTGGTTTCCTCGATCAACTGCCTCTGGACTTCCCTGGAGACTGTCAGATGCATAAAAAGCAGTAGTAAGAGTTTGTTTGTATGTCAGTGCACAGTTATACCTGACGCCAATGAATAATGTTCTGTACTGATGTTCCAGCAGGAGAATGTCCTACGTACATATCTATTCGACTCTGGAGAGAAAGCAGAAGTGTTATTAAGACAGGGATCCAGTGCTGTGATGGAATAAAGCTGTGAAGGACCTGAGCAACATTCTGCTACTGTGTTAAAACCCCATTTTAATAGGATATTCTTCAAATATTAAACTGAAAGCGGAGAAGCAGACTTAGGAATAGCTGATTAGCAGCATGTATCTGCATGCTTTTTCCATGAAAGCGAGTCTGTTCCATGAAGATAGTACTATCGTGGGATCCTGCAGTTCAGCAACAGCAGGGAAAAAGTCCTTTCAAAGTAGTTTCCTCACCTCACACCAAACCCTCATGCATGCATAAGTCTTTTGAAGATTTCTTTCTCTCTTCACTTTGCTCCTAGTGCTAAAGAAGCCAGCTTACAAAACAGATTGCTTTTTCTTCTGCTTCATTTTTATAGTTCCGTTAAGGAGATGTTCCAATTCCATCTCCTCGGATTCCTCCTCAGACTTGTTATCTTGCCCTGAGAACCACGTTAGCAACTTAACCCAAGTCAGGAAAGATCCGTAATGGCTTAGCTCTGCAACTCGAAAGGGCTGCAATACCTTTAATTGTTTTTGCATTTAACCTTTGATTCTCACTGCTTTCCCCTATGTGCTTTTACAAGTGGTTATAGAGGAAAGAGATGTACCCCGACATTTGCAGATATTGCAGTAATTACAATAACTATGTATCATTACATAGGCCACCTTCTGCATACTTTGGCCATTGTAAAGGGGCTTTAAAACACATTACAGTGTCCGTATGTCAGCAAGCATAGGGACAACTCTCCTGTCTCTCCTGTTCCCTCTGACTGATGCACTAGCCTTTGTGAATCCCACTGTAGGTGTGTTGCATTCCTCAGGCACAGTGCAAGGATTTTCTGTAGCTCTACATGTCGTGGATTGAGCTGTTGGATCCAGTTCTAAGGACAACAGAAATGGGAAAATACCCCTTACAGTAGTTCTTTGGGACCAAGTTCAGGTGCAAGTAGTCTGAAAATTGGGAAGAGAAAAGGAGGTTTTTTTCCTATCTTTTAATTATTCCAGTGTTCAGAGGACCCTTGTGTCCACGTGCTAAAGAAGGAAACTGGGAACTGTATTACCAAGAAGTAATCTGACTCCATCATCTATTGGCTCTTTTTAAAGAGCATCTGTGTATGACCAAAATCTGGTCAGCTAGCCCCAAAAGAGGGCATATCTATTCACACGTGCAATATAGCTCCAGACTGAATTCAGTCCTTTCTTTCTGGAATTGGAATGTGCCTAGTTATTGGTCCCATCTATCATTAGCTCCAGTCCTGTTTGGCACTGTTTGCCCTGCATAATGTCCTGGCATTCCCTCAGTCTGCTGAGAACTATATTTATGTACATTTACATGCACGACAGTTACTAGAAAAGGACAGAGTATGCAAATGTAACTTCCAAAATCACCTTAGTTTTACTTTGAGTAGGTGTTCTTACATATACTTACTGTGTTCAGATTCTTTATGTTGCCTCCAGCTATGTAACAGAGTATATGACCACAAAATTTATCCAGGCTTGAACATAACTGTGTCACAGGTCCTTTCAGAAATCCAATTTGGTGCAGGGCTCCTTTGCAGCCAAGCACTAACTGAGGGAAGGGAAAAGCACAAAGCTATTTTTTTTTTCTTGTTACAGGAGAATTTTATGCAGGAAACTATTGCTAATAGCCCAGCCTTCTAACTCAGTATCCAAAGATTGCTGAGACAGTTTGCCCTCCCAGTACCCCTTAAAACACCTTCTTCCCTATAGCACATCACATATCCTTTCATATTGCTGACATCAATCCCGGAGGAAGACGTCCTTCCATTTCTAGTGTAGTGACCTCTTTGCTCACTCGTTTCTGAAGTCCCAGAGATTGTCGTGGCTGTTATCGCAGTTTTGGTTTAGTTCCTCCTGCCTGAGGCCAGCAAAATATTAGCTAACAGCAAGAGTCCTATGACAGTTTCACAAATCGGCTACTTCACTGGGAGCTGCTGCTACAAGCCTTGTATCTCCAGTGTTTTCCCCACAGAGCTTGGGAACAGACTTTTCAAGAGCGCTAGATTCATCCCAAACTCAGAATCAGCACGTCAACCATCTGAGAACACTTCGTCTCAGGTTGAGTGAACCTTGTGAAGGTAAGTCAGGCTTTGTGCTTCTCAGAAGGAAAAACGACATACCCTGAGCAGTGGTTCAGGCATGCTTGCTAACTTAATCAAAGGGCTCGTAGCATGTGAGCATGTGGTTACTGGGGCGAGAGCACAGAACATTTTCACCCGTTTAGCCAGCTCAGGGTATGTAGAAAATGCTATGAAGCCTGCAAACACAGAAGAAACAGCCTGAGTTAGTGAAGACGTCTTCCACAGACAAAATAAGTAAAGAAGCAGTAGGTAGCAAACAAGAAAAGAGACTAGATTTGCAGCCCATTGTCTGTTGTCCATGTTTGTTTGTGCTGCATGTTTTACCTAAGGCAAGTGTTGAAACTAAGTCCTGAAATGGATTTATTTGGGAGCAAAGTTCACTCTGAAGTTTAGAGCATGTCTGGACATTGCCTTTATCAGAACAGTATTTGTAGACAACATATCAATGAGGTTTTAATGATAAAATCAATTTCCTCTAAAGTTCAAAAAATTCTCATAAAATTGAGTTTTTCAGATTATAGTCTCCACAGGTCAATGTATGTTTATGCTTCCATGAAACTGTAGAATAATTAGCTGAGTACTGGGAGCTTTGAGTGTTTTCGACTGATTGAAAACTGAGTGTTTGCATCAAAGGCAGTTGGAGAAAGCCTAGGAGGTTAGTTTGTTTTGCCATGAGGGTCTTGAAATACTCTTATGAGAGGAAAAGAAAGAAAAGGTCTGAAGCTGTGACAATATATGATTTTCCCACACTTCCTTCTCTTTTTTTCTGGGACATTTACGCTAATGAACTGGCAGTTGCTCATTTCTAATCAATGTCCATTCATGGATTTTACACATAAACCATAAATATCAAGAACTTTCAGCTGATGCTAAAAGAAAGTTAGATGCATTCAGAGGTCATGAAGTGAGCTAATGCTAAAGGCTGGCACTAAGAGATAATAAGCGATTAATGTTTTTTCTTTCCTAATTTTCAGTTTCTGGCAATATATTTTTAAACAGTAATGTGGGCAGCTACAGCCGCTCATGAACTACGCTTTAAATCGTAAGACTGCCATTCAATCACATGACTTAGTAATGTTGACGTTCTTTATCCTTGCCTTCTGTTATTTGAAATTATATATTATATATACTGGTTTATCTTTTTAGTTTTTCCTTCCTGCTCACAAGGGAAATAATTGTGTATCTTAGTACAAAAGATGAACTTAATGAAAATTACTGTTGCTGAGAATTTAAGAAAAATACCCAGTACCTGAAGTACCCAGTAAATAACCACTTTTGTGTCTCTAATTATTTTAAAAGTTGAACTAAATTTGAATCTGCTATTAGGTTCCTTTGCTTATTAAGGTTGATCAAAGTTGTTTTCAGAAAAGTTTTGTGTATTTCCTGAATCTCAACTTAGAAGGCACTTCTACGTTCGCTAGCTCTCCACAAACAAGAAAAACAACCAAATCAATGGGGAGACCCACGGACAGGTGTGAACTGTGAGTGTCCTGACATTACCTGATGCTGTGCCTTCAGAGTGACCAACATAGTATATATCCTTCTGTCCAGTTTTATTCATGATGAAGTACAGCTCTGCTGGAATATCGTATTTACCCATTTCATCAAGGCTACAGGGGAGAAACACAAAAAGCTAGCAGACAATATGGCTACCACAGTGTGAGCTACTGAATGTCAGTTTTGTTCATTGCACCAATCAGAACACATTGAAAGATGAGGTTGCACGCTTTGTCTGTATTCTTGCTTGAGCTGGGGAAGCGGATAGAGGGATGCAGCTGCACTGCCAGGCTGCCTGATGCCTTGGGCTCTCTGAGAATGAGGTGCTAGTTTCACCTATCAGTTACAGCCCTTGGGGAACTGAATTTAATCAGTGCTTTCACTAGCATGGGTTACAAAACACGTTTCTCTCTTGGTTGAATTCAGCTGTGACACATCAGAGATTTCTAGACAAGGCTGCTCAGCCTGTTCCAGCTGATATTCTTGCTCTCCCTCTCACAGTAGACTCCCATTTTCTCAGCATCCCATTTCATTCCCGGTGTCTGAAATCTCTTCCCCAGCCTATGCTCCCAACTCTGAGCAGTAGTAAGCATTCTTGTTCATCTGGTTCTTTACTCTCTTTGGTTGGTGTAGACCCTGTTCTGACGTTGGTTTAGGTAAAAATCATCAGGCTGAAGCTATCTAGTCCCCTTGGAGTTTCTGTCTTAAGTAATTCTTTCTCCAGAGTACCTGAACTGCCAGAACTCTTTCTGGCAGGGCTTAAGGGTCTTGTGCTTTAAAGACCAGGTGTTGCCTCGGCTGTTTCCAATCCAGACATCATAGCCAGCATCTGCGAGGAGGAAGCCCAAGCTGTCGTTGGGCAGGTTAGAAATCCAGTGGGTAGCATCTCCTAGAAAAGCATGCTGTAGGAAGACTGCAGGCTTTAGCCCTGGAAAAGATGAAAGTATTCTTATATTGGAGCGGTACTTAATGTGTATTTAAGATTTGGGTGCTGAGTTTAGTTGTGAGAGGTTTTAAATCTTTCCTTCTTCGAGAAGCTCCCAGGAGAACTATGCATAGATATTGGTCTAAGAAACCTGAAGGATTTTTTCCATGCAAGCAGGAACCATTTCATGACATTTCATAACCATTTCATGACAGGACTAGCAAATAAAGAGCTTAATGAGGATGCCTATCGCCACCTCCTCTTGCACTGGAAAGCCAACCTACAGAACCTTCCCTATATTGAAACCGTCTACCCACAGCTAAAAACTACTGAAGGCAGAACAGTGTATGGAACACAAAGAATAATTAATCCAAAGAAGAACATCTATGCTTAGGTCTATTCAGTAATCAACTCAGCAGGGCTGAGAGGCCTCTGATCTAACTTTGGCTAACCTTACTTTGAGAATGAGATTGGTCCAGATGATCTCCAAAGGAGGAGATCCAAATACGAGTAGGCACCCAAAACATGTTATTCTATAGTTCTAACAAGGAGCAATAAAAAAAAATAGCAGTATCCAGCGTACCTCAAATTTCAGGTAGCAATTTTTATTCCATTCAGAAAATTCTTAAAAAAAAGAGAAACAGGTGTAATGCATTTGCTTTTCATTGATGACATGATTACTTGTCACCTCCTAAAAAATATCTCTGTCCTCCAGAAAACTGAAAATCAATATCCATATGCCTATCCTGAGAGGCTTTGCTGCCAGGCTTCTATTTTAAATGTATGTTACTTACAGTGTTAATGCAAAACCTCCCCAAATCCAGTCTACCAACCACCCCCCAGACCACATGAGGAAAAAAAACAGGGATATGACTAAATTATAAGAAAAGTCGGAAATAAGGACAGGGACATGGAATATGTGGCCTTCAGATGGATTCAGAATTCAGGCCACGTTCCTGACTTGATGTTCTTACTGAGATGGAAAGACGTGGAACATGCATGTGCAAAGGGGAAAGATGGGAGACTCATGTAAGAGTTGGCTCTCAGACCCTCCTATGTCCTTCAATGGTGTCACACCTGTATTTTGGCTGTTCCTCC